CACCTTTTTCAATTGCAAATATCGCGACTTCCATTCAAGATCATCATCACTGCCTTATTTTTTTTACCCTGGGTCAGGATATAGGCCACGAACAAACACTGTCCATCTTTCCATGTCGTTTGCGAGTCGCCTGATGTCACTGACTGATGTCTTCCTACTTTTTTGTACATCCATTTCCGTGACTCTTCTTCAGGTTCCACGTGATCTTTTACCCTGCGGATTCCAAACTAACACTGTTCTTGTTATGCAATTATACTCCCAACATAGCAGAAGCATCCGACGTCTTCTAGTGCTTTTCCCTCTACTGTGACCTGCTCCTTTCCCAGTGCATCTATCCTTAGAACTTTTGACTTTCCTGGGTGGATCCTCAATCCAACAGACTCTAATAGTCTGTTTACCATTCATGATAGATGGGTGTTTTATTCATCAAATACAAGATGAAATATAATTTTTAATCCAACTCAGCCATAATACCGTTACCCTTATTTATTAAAAATACGCAACTCGCCAGTGCACATGACTTGCTCGTTGTTATAGAAAATAGATTTAAACAAACAAAAAAAACTAGCTCTCAACTACCACACTTGGTCTAATTTAAAAAATCCTCCCGCAGACTGTAATTAAATACTAATGATTATATAGAAAACAGCTCTACATATTTGTCGCATGTGCACGAAAATTGGGATTTTTAAGGGGTTTTTTGGAATTCAGAGGCACATGTAAAAAATCAGGAAAATTCGCCTCTTAGTTTCTGTGTAATGAGATCGATAAGTTGTCCATTTGATGTTGTCTGGACTATACCTTGTTCATTGAGATTCAAGTTAAAAAGTATCTTACTCTTATTTTTATTTGCATCTTTGTGCTAACGACAGAAGCCCAGAGCATGTGTTAACCGACGTCAGGAGTGTAGTATTTAAAATGTATGCACTTCTCCGGCGCATGCAGAAGTCTGTAGTTCGATTCCCGTGTGGGAAGGGTTTTTGTCGAGTATCTCCGTCTGCCTGAGGGGACAACTGCAATTATAAGCACATGTTTATCATTGTCATATTTATTGTTCCTTTTTCTTATTGTTTTCTCATTATTTATTATCTTCCCAGGGATGCCTTTATGATCCCCATCATCAACTGTCTGACCAGCTTCTACGCTGGGTTCGTGGTCTTCTGCACTCTGGGACATATGGCCAAAATCAAGAACGTGGACATTGACGACGTCACAAAAGGAGGTAGGATAAATCGGATATCATGTTGAAACGGTAAACGTACCGGCGTCTGTGTTGAAGAGGTTAGGCGCTGCGCGTCGCAGAAGGGAAATCTGAGTTCGCTCCGAAAGTCGGGAGAATTTTTATCAAGTGTCTTGACTCTTCTACTGTGGTATTATGATCCTCTAAGCGGGAGAGGGAGGAGGAAGGGGGGGGGGGGGGGGGGGGGGGAAAAATGCGTGGGCTCAAAGTCTAAAACGGAGAGGGGATTAAACTGAAAATCATGCACAAGATCTAGAGAGATTTTCACTTCTTTTAAAAATGTTAAAATGAGAAAATAAGGGGGCGTAGGTATTTTTTCATGCAATACTGAAAAAAGAAAAACAAAACAACCCCCCCCACCCCACAAAAACCCCCCTGTCTTGGCCTAGTCTGACGAGACATTTATTGGGTACCACGATACGCCCCAGTAACTCTACACTTTACAGGACAACATTCAGTGAAAACACGCACACAAAACATTTTAACAACTGGATTTCTTTCTCTCCATACAGTTCGACAGCTAATCTTATTTGCGTTCGACAAATTTATCTGCCAGCCGAGTTTTAAAGTCGACGAAGCCCCTGTGAATATGTTTGCGCGGCTCTCCAGTCGATAAACAGATCGACAATCTTGTTCTCAGTAGAGCCGACGACACAAGAGCTCTTATCAGACAGACCCCTGGCGGTTCTAAGGGCTTGGCTGAGTCGAAGCAGCGGCCTAAAATGACTAGTTCGAGCCGTTTTGAAAAGTCAGATCTAGATCTATGCGGCACAGCGACTTTTCATCCATAACAAGTAATTTATCAATAGACGTAACATTATGACCGTGTTTTTGTGCTAGAAACGCAATAAAACGCAACAGATACTGTCACTTCTCGTGTAGTCAGCCAAAAAAATGTTTGAACATTACAGTCCACCCAGGTAGTTGCCATCTATCCTGACCTTTCACCTTCACAAGATAACGCCAAGAAATATTGCCAACGCATCAGTTTACGCGTAAAGACCGTTTCTTGTCGTAAATGCAGTCCTTCGTAAAGGAAGAGAATCGAATTTCACACAAATACACATCAAATCCCAGTTGGTTTAGTCGGGAAGAATTCAATGGTTTAATGGGGCGATAGGTATGAGAAACTGTCAGATCTTTGGCTGCAAGACTGGAAGGAGAAAAAAAAGTAAATAAAAGATGTTGCAAAAATAAGTTTCATCACAATAGGGAAAAGAAACACACACATAT